GTCAGCTTTTGTATGGTATTGTTTCTAGCACCCACTTTTTGCTTGATATTCAGGCAATGCTTCTTGTAGGTCAGAGCACGGTCCAGAGTGACTCCCAGGTATTTGGGTGCGCTGCAATGCTCCAGTGGGATTCCTTCCCAGGTAATCCTCAGATAATAATAATTTTATTATTATTATATTGCATTACATTGTAGTATTATAAATATTATATGAATATACAATCTATTATATTATATTATATTATATTATATTGTTAGAATAGCACAGGAGACAAGGTGGAACTGTCCCCTGGCTCCCTCTCTCTTCACTCATTCAACCCATTCATATTGAGTGTTGAAATTGGCCACCTTGATTAGCATTGAATGGCCTTATAAGTAGCCAGGCATTGAAGCTGCCAGCTTACACCTCCCAATATAGGATTTCCTCGGGCAGGAAGCAGCCAGGCTTTGAAGCTGCAATACCATTCAATGCTAATCAAGGTGACCAGTTGCAACATTCACACTTCCCTCCAACAGACAGGAGTTAATTCTCCCACCCTGGTCATTCCACAGATGTATAAACCTCACTTGCCTTTTTTCCATCAGATGCCTGCCGTAGGTGTGGGCAAAACATCAGGAGAGAATGCTTCTGGAGCGTGGCTTGACAGCCTGGAAACTCACTGCAACCCTTCTCCTCTTTTCCAACGTTGTTCTTTATAACCAGTTGGGATTTCCTAGAAACTAGAGCACAACAGTAGCAGCACTGGAGAGGATCTTGCCAGCGGAGGCTCTTACTTCCTCAGCTGTGTTTACACAACCCTAAGAGAGACATTACTTTTTGTTTCCCAGCAAATTAGCTCCTCTGTCACTTTGCAGAGAAGCACACATAACTTAATAGGCTCCAGAAAGGATATATCTTTGTCTCCCATCGTAGTCGATCCCTTATATAAGGCTAAAGAGCCAGAAAGTGGGGATGCTGCTGTATATCTTTGTCTCTTAAGAACGTTTACCAGCACTTCTTCCCTGTCTCTATGGCAGGCGTAGGGAACGTTTCTAACTTGTGGGCCGCATGCTAGCACTCCCTGCTAAGAGGACTTTGATGGCTGCCCATTGATGGAAGGAAAGGAGGGAAGGAGGAAGGAAAGAGAGAAGGAAGGATGAAAGGGAGGAAGGGAAGGATGGAAGGAGGAGAGAGGGAAAGAGGGGGGGGGGAAAGGGAAGGAAGGATGAAAGGGAGAAAGGGAAGGATGGAAGAAGAAGGAGAGAGGGAAAGAGGGAGGGAAATTGAAGGAAGGATGAAAGGGTGGAAGGGAAGGATGGAAGGAGAAGGAGATAGGGAAAGAGGGAGGAAAAGGGGGGAGGAAGGATGAAAAGGAGGAAGAGAAGGATGGAAGGAGAAGGAAAGAGGGAGGAAAAAGGGAAGGAAGGAAAGATGAAAAGGAGCAAAGGAAGGATGGAAGGAAAGGGAGAGAGGGAAAGAGGGAGTAAAAAGGGAAGGAAGGAAGGATGAAAGGAGAAGGAGAGAGGGAAAGAGGAAGCAAAAAGGGAAGGATTAAAGGAAGGAAGGGAAGGATGGAAGGAGAAGGAGAGAGGGAAAGAGGGAGGAAAAGAGGGAAGGAAGGATGAAAAGGAGGAAGGGAAGAATGGAGAAGGAGAGAGGGAAAGAGGGAGGAAAAAGGGAAGGCAGGATGAAAAGGAGGAAGGGAAGGATGGAAGGAGAAGGTGAGAGGGAAAGAGGGAGGAAAGGGGAAGGATGAAAGGGAGGAAGGGAAGGATGGAAGGAAGGAGAAGGAGATAGGGAAAGAGGGAGGAAAAGGGGAAGGAAGGATGAAAAGGAGGAAGAGAAGGATGGAAGGAGAAGGAGTGAGGGAAAGAGGGAAATAGGGAGGAAAAAGGGAAGGAAGGAAGGATGAAAGGGAGGAAGGGAAGGATGGAAGGAGAAGGAGAGAGGGAAAGAGGGAGGAAAAAGGGAAGGAAGGAAGGATGAGAGGGAGGAAGGGAAGGATGGAAGGAGAAGGAGATAGGGAAAGAGGGAGGAAAAAGGGAAGGAAGGAAGGATGAAAGGGAGGAGTTGGGCTCCCACAGAAGTTGAGGAAGCAGAATCCATTTTGTTCCCTTCTGCTTCAGGATAACCTTTGTCTTAGAGGGCACTAGAAATCTGAGTGAGTGTTTAAAATTAACTGCTTTGAGTGTTGCTTTGTTTGAGAGGAGGGGCTTCCTGTGTTTAAAAATTAACTGCTTTGAGTGTTGCTTTGTTTGAGAGGCGGGCTTCCTGTGTTTAAAATTTGCTGCTTTGGGTGTTGCTTTGTTTGAGAGGCGGGGCTTCCTGTTCTGCTTCCTGGTTACCCTATATAAACCAGGGCCTGAAGTCAAGGGACAGTTGGGCTCCCACAGAAGTTGAGGAAGCAGAATCCATTTTGTTCCCTTCTGCTTCAGGATAAGCTTTGTCTTAGAGGGCACTAGAAATCTGAGTGAGTGTTTAAAATTAACTGCTTTGAGTGTTGCTTTGTTTGATTCATTCGGAAAAATGCTGCACTCGCAGAGCTCAGGCGGTGTTGTATTTCAGTGTCTATGTTGACATCTGTAGACAGTCCACGTTTTGCAGGAGTATAGCAGGGTTAGGAGGACAATAGCTTTATAAACAAGCACCTTGGTCTCCCTACGGATGTCTCGGTCCTCAAACACTCTCTGCGTCATTCAGAAAAATGCTGCACTCGCAGAGCTCAGGCGGTGTTGTATTTCGGTGTCGATGTTGACTTTGGAGAGGTGGCTGCCAAGGGAGCAAAAATGGTCCACATTTTCTAATGTTACACCATTAAGTTGTATCTCTTTCATTGGAGAGGGATTGGCTGGTGACTGCTGGAAGAGCACTTTGGTTTTCTCAATGTTCAACGACAGCTTCTCATATGCTTCTGCAAAGGTGGTTAGAGTGGCTTGTAGATCTTCTTCTGAATGTGCACAGACGTCGTCATCAGCATACTGGAGTTCTATAACAGATGTTGTAACCTTGGTTTTGGCTTTCAGTCTGCTGAGGTCAAACAGCTTGCCATCTGTCTGATAGATGATTTCCATTCCGGTGGGAAGATGCACTCTACATGGGGCTGCCTTTGAAGATGGTTTGGAAACTGCGGTTAGTGCAAAGATCAGCTGCCAGATTACTAACTGGGGCTAGCTATAGGGAACATATTATGCCCCTAGACAAGCAGCTCCACTAGCTTCCGACATTTTTCCAGGCTTAATTCAAAGTGCAGGTTATTACCTACCAAGCCCTATCTGCTCCGGGTCCAACCTATCTTCAACACTGCATCTCCTTCTATGAACCGGCACGGGCTTCGAGAATGGCAGAGGAGGCCCTTCTCTTGTCTCAAGTGCAGTTGGTGGGGACAATAGAGAGGGCTTTGTCTGTAGTGGCTTCCCGGCTCTAGAATACCCTCCCAAAAGAGATTAGGTCCTTTGATCCAGCCTGAAAACTTGGATTTTTAAACAGCCTTTTGGCCTCGAGTAGGCTGAAATGGACACATATGAGATTGAGACTCTGGCACTTTAGTTGTGAACAAGCTGTCCCCTGCCACGCTTTGTTGTGGCCCAGTCTGCTGATCTGGAAAATAAAGTAATGAGAAAGTGTTGGTTTCTAATATATGTAATTTCTTTCTGCTTGTGGGTAAACAGTATTTGATTACGTTTTCTTGCCCTGGTGAAGGGAGTTGGACTGGATGGCCTTAAGTATTTTCTGTTGGTCATAGGGGTTCTGTGTGGCAAGTTTGCCCCAATTCTATCGTTCGTGGGGTTCAGAATGCTCTTTGAGTATAGGTGAACTATAAATCCCAGTAACTACAACTCCCAAATTTCAAGGTCTATTTCCCCCAAACTCCACCTGTGTTCATATTTGGGCATATGGAATATTCGTGCCAAGTTTGGTCCAGATCCATCATTGTTTGAGTCCACAGTGCTCTCTGGATGTAGGTGAACTACAACTCCCAAACTCAATGTCAATGCCCACCAAACCCTTCTAGTCTTTTCTGTTGGTCATGGAAGTCCTGCTGTGCCATGTTTGGTTCAATTTCATCGTTGGTGAAGTTCAGAATGCTCTTTGATTGTAGGCGAACTATAAATCCCAGCAACTACAAGTTCCAAACGACACAGTCAATTTTTTTGAGTGAAGGACATACATTGGGTTGTTAGGTATATGCTGTCCAAATTTGGTGTCAATTCATCCAGTGGTTTTTGAGTTCTGTTAATCCCAGAAACGAACGTTACATTTTTATTTATATAGATTAGCATAGTACAATATCAGTATTATATATTACTATATTGTCCACAGTGCTCTCTGGATGTAGGTGAACTACAACTCCCAAACTCAACGCCCACCAAATGCCCACCAAACCCTTCCAGTATTTTCTGTTGGTCATGGGAGTTCTGTGTGTCATGTTTGGTTCAATTCCATCATTGGTGGAGTTCAGAATGCTCTTTGATTGTAGGTGAACTATTGTAGGTGAACTATAAATCCTAGCAACTTCAACTTCCAAATGACTCATTCTTTTGAGTGATGGTCTCTCCTTGGGTTAGTAGGTGTCTTGTGGCCAAATTTGGCAGCAATTTGTCCAGTGGTTTTTGAGTTAATTCCACAAACGAACATTACATTTTTATTTATATAGATTGATGGCAGCTAGTTTTAAGTATAGATGGTCTGTGTTTTTAAATTGTGTTGTTTTCTTTTATGTGTTGACAGCGGTAGTTTTATAACTGTATATGTGATATTGTTTGATACTCATGCATTGTTATATTTTTATATATATGTTATATTTTTATATGTATGTATGTATGTGTGTGTGTGTGTGTGTGTGTATATATATAATATGAGATATATATATATATATATATATAATGTTTACACACAGAGAGATATATATATATGTGTGTGTGTGATATTTCACTTGGAGTGACTTACAATCCGCCCCGAAACACCATAGCGGACAGTGATGTCTCAGATGGTGTCTCCATCTTTTCTTATCATCTCTTCAGTATGTGGTAAGCGCTACAAGAACCGTCCCGGGTTGAGCTACCATTACGCACATTCTCACCTTGCCGAGGAGGAAGGGGAGGACAAGGAAGACTCTCAGCCCCCCACACCTGTCTCTCAGAGGTCCGAGGAACAAAAATGTACGTCTCTTATCATATGGATTGTGTAATCCTTTACATTTTTTGCATGAAAATTCCTCTTTTCTGTGATAACCTGATAGCCGCTGTACTTGGTGCCTCCATGGTTAAATTTAGATTTGAAGGTGACAATATACTGTATATACTCGAGTATAAACCAAAATTTTCAGCCCTTTTTTAAGGCTGAAAAAGCCCCCCTCGGCTTATACTCGAGTCAGTTATCATTTTACTCTGTTATTATTATTATTATTAAATTATTATTTTACTCTATTTATTATTATACTGACACAAAAACACAGTATGCCAGAGCAAACGAGATACATATGCTGGATTTCGTATCACAAAATCACAAGTCGAACACTTCCCAAGCATTTAGGATTATAATAATTATTGCAATTATTATTTTATTCTATTATTATTATTACATGTATTTTTTACTCTGTTTATTATTGTTACATTTATTATTTTACTCTGTTATTATTATTACATTGATTATTATACTCTGTTTATTATTATACTGACACAAAAACACAGTATGCCACAGCAAACGAGATACATATGCTGGATTTCGTATCACAAAATCACAAGTCAAACACTTCCCAAGCATTTAGGATTACAATAATTATTACAATTATTATTTTACTCTATTTATTATTATTATTATTATTATTATTATTATTATTATTACATTTATTATTTTACTCTATTATTATTACATGTATCATTTTACTCCGTTTATTATTGTTACATTTATTATTTTACTCTATTGTATGTATTATTATACTCTATTATTATTACTACATTTATTTTTACTCTATTATTATTACATTTTTATTTTCCCCTATTATTGTTGCATTTATTATTTTACTTTATTATTTATTATTATTATTACATTTATTATATTACTCTGTTATTACATTCATTATTATACTCTATTATTATTACAATTATTTTACTCTAATTATTATTATTGCATTGATTATTTTACTCTATTATTATTACATTGATTATTTTACTCTATTGATATTATTACATTGATTATTTTACTTTATTATTACTATTATTATTGCATTTCCATTAATTTACTCTATTATTATTTTTTATTACATTTATTATTATACTCTATTATTATTGGAAGGATACGTCAGCACATTTACATTGAAGAAGGTTAGAATAATAGTTTAATCAGAGTTGGACAGTCTTATCTTAAATTACAGTTTTATGTAAAGTTCAAAAAAAATTAACCTACTGATAACCTCAATTAATGTAGTTTAATTGGTATCTATTTTTATTTTGAAATTTATCAGAAGGTGGTGCATTTCCCACCCTCGGCTTATACTCGAGTCAATATGTTTTCCCAATTTTTTGTGCAAAATTAGCTGCCTCGGCTTCTATTTGGGTCAGTATATACGGGTAAATGGGAGAGTGGCCTTGGCACAGAGGATAGAGAAAGAAGGAGCCAATGAGTGCCCCTAATCTCTTTACTGTGCATATACGTTTTTGTTTGAAGGCAGGTTGGGCTTCAGCCCAGAGTTGACTTGGATTGATTTCTTACCATTTGAATGCTTTTCTTCTCCATTAGCAAAGAAAGGCCCCGATGGCTTGGCCCTGCCTAACAATTACTGCGACTTCTGCCTGGGGGATTCAAAAATCAATAAGAAAACAGGGCAACCAGAGGAGTTGGTTTCCTGTTCAGACTGCGGCCGATCAGGTATTTTTGAAACTCTCTTAATTCCCAAATAGGCCTGCTATTGCTTCTCAGCCACTTTTTGAACTTAGTTTTTTTGTTGTTGCTGTTGTTTCCTTTTGATATTTGAATGGTCCATTTTGTATTTTTTATTTATGAATGTGTTTGGCATTGAATGTTTGCCTTTTTTGTTGGAATCTGCCCTGGGAAAGAGGGTAGAATATAAATAAAGTTTATTATTATTATTATTATTGACACAAAAGCACAGTATGTCACAGCAAATGTTGGATTTCGTATCACAAAATCACAAGTCGAACACTTCCCAAGCGTCTAAGACTGTATGATGTATTTTCGAATGATGTGTGCAGATCCAAGTAGACTGGCCTTTTGCAGCTGATATTGTAATTTTGTCAGCGTTGATTGTTTTTAAGTGCTGTCCAAGGTTGCTGTTGTTATTTGAAACACAACAAGATTAGTACACAGCAGACACTCTGCTGGCTGTTGTATTGGATCACATGTCGGTCACTTCCCAAGTGTCTAGGACTGTGTGATGTATCAGCAAATAATGCATGCAGATCCCAGTAAGGTGGCTTTCTGCAGCTGGCAGATGGTAATTTTGTCAGCACCGAATGTGTTTAAGTGCAGGCCAAGGTCTTTAGGCACTGCACCCAGTGTGCCAATTACCATTGGGACCACCTTGACTGGCTTGTGCCAGAGTCTTTGCAGTTGTTGTTATTATTATTAATATTATTATTATTAGTCTTTGCAGTTATTATTATTTATAGGACTATGTGATGTATTGGCGAATAATGCATGCAGATCCAAGTAGGGTGACCTTTTGCAGCTGACATTGTAATTTTGACAGTGCCGATTGCTTTTCAGTGCTGGCCAAGGTTATTGTTGTTGTTGTTGTTGTTGTTGTTGTTGTTTGAAACATAACAAGATTAGTACACAGCAAACAAGATCACTCTGCTGGCTGTTGTATTGGATCATATGTCGGACACTTCCCAAGTGTCTAGGACTGTGTGATGTATCAGCAAATAATGTGTGCAGATCCCAGTAAGGTGGCCTTCTGCAGCTGGCAGATGGCCATCTTGTCATCGCCGATTGTGTTATAGTGCAGGCCAAGGTCTTTAGGCACTGCACCCAGTGTGCCGATCACTACTGGGACCACATTGACTGGCTTGAGCCAGAGTCTTTGCAGTTTGATCTTTAAATCCTTATATCGTGTCAGCTTTTCCAGTTGTTTCTCTGCAGTCCTGCTGTCGCCTGGGATTTCAACATTGATGATCCATACTCTGTTTTTTAACACGATCGTGAGGTCAGGAGTATTGTGCTCCAAAACTCTGTCAGTCTGAATTCGGCAGTCCCAGAAGAGATTGACGTGTTCATTTTCTGATTTTTAATTATTATTTTTATTTTTTTTCCGTTATTATTGTTGTTGTTGTTATTATTGTTGTTGTTATTATTATCATTATTATTATTATTTGAAACACCACAAGATGAGTCCACAGCAGACACTCTGCTGGCTGTTTTATTGGATCATATGTCAGTCACTTCCCAAGTGTCTAGGACTGTGTGAAGTGTCGGCGAATAATGCGTACAGATCCCAGTAAGGTGGCCTTCTGCAGCTGGCAGATGGAAATTTTGTCAGCTCCAATTGTGTTTAAGTGCAGGCCAAGGTCTTTAGGCACTGCACCCAGTGTGCCGATCACCACTGGGACCACCTTGACTGGCTTGTGCCAGCGTCTTTGCAGTTATTACTAGTATTAGTATTAGTATTTGAAGTCATTATTTTTGTTATTGTTATTATTATTATTTATAGGACTATGTGATGCATTGGCGAATAATGCGTGCAAATCCAAGTAAGGTGGCCTTTTGCAGCTGACATTGTAATTTTGTCAGCGCCGATAGCTTTTCAATGCTGGCCAAGGTTATTGTTGTTGTTGTTATTTGAAACATAACAAGATTAGTACACAGCAAGCAAGATCACTCTGCTGGCTGCTGTATTGGATCACAGGTCGGACACTTCCCAAGTGTCTAGGACTATGTGATGTATGGGTGAGTAATGTGTGCAGATGCCTGTAGGGTGGCCTTTTGCAGCTGGCAGATGGTCATCTTGTCATAGCCAATTGTGTTTAAGTGCACACCAAGGTCTTTAGGCACTGCATCCAGTGTACCGATCACCACTGGGATCCCCTTGACTGGTTTGTGCCAGAGTCTTTACAGTTCGATCTTTAAATTCTTATATCATGTCGTCTTTTCCAGTTGTTTTTCTGCAATCCTGTTGTCACCTGGGATTGCAACATTGACAATCCATACTTTGTTTTTAACACAATTGTGAGGTCAGGAGTGTTGTGCTCCAAAACTCTGTTTGAATCCTGAAGTCCCAGAGTAGCTTGACATGTTCATTTTCTGTAACTTTTTCTGGCTTGTGATCCCACCAGTTCTTTGTCGCAGACAGTTGGTATAATTTGGCACAAGTTCCAATGAATCATCTGAACAACGGTGTTGTGCCTCTGCTTGTAGTCTGTCTGCGCAATCTCCTTGCAGCAGCTGAGGATGAGATCTGTTTTTTCATCTGCTTCCTTGCAAAGTCTACATTTGGGATCTGTTGTTGACTTTTCCATTCTGGCTTAGATGGCATTTGTTCTAATAATAATAATAATAATAATAATAATAATAATAATAGTAAATGAACTATCTTATGTAAGGATTGTTGTAAGCCGCCCCAAGTCCCCTAGGAGAGATGGTTGGCGGGGTATAAAAATAAAGTTGTTATTATTGTTGTTGTTGTTGTCCTCTTTGAAGCAGCACTGGCTTGTTTGTCTCTCTGAAGAATGACCCTTGGCTTATCAAAAATCCATACTTTTTGGTGCCCAAACCTGCCCTCACTTATACATCGGGTTGACTTACACACATATATGGTACATTTCACCTTCAGTTCTATTATTTGGGAGATGCACCTCAATACCCTGTTTCTTCCCTCCCAGGACACCCTTCTTGCCTGCAATTCACACCAGTCATGATGGCGGCGGTGAAGACCTACCGCTGGCAGTGCATCGAATGCAAGTGCTGCAATATCTGCGGAACCTCCGAAAACGATGTGAGTTCCCATCATAGGACTGAATCCCCTGATTCTGTGATCGGGATGGGATTCAGATGTGCCCTTCTCAAGTCTCCTTGCTTCTCTGGAGGTTTTTAAGCAAAGGGTGGGTGGCCATCTATCAGGAAGGCTTTGATTGTGTTTTCCTGCCTGGCAGAAGGTTGGATGGCCTTTGGGGTCCGTCCAACTCCATGATTCCAGGATTCAATCCACTGTTAAATCAATTAATCAGTTCCTGCCTGGCAGAACGGAGTTGGACTAGATGTCCTTTAGGGTCTTTTCCAACACTGGGATTCTGTGATGGGTGTCACTCAGGTGGACAGAACCGGAGCACCATTAGAGGAGGGAAAGCAGATACCCGTGAGGTATTGAATCCCACCCTCCCAAAGGAATAATTTGCATTCTCCTGCTTTTTTTGTCCTCCTTCCTCTTCCCCATTTTGCTTAGGACCAGCTGCTCTTTTGTGACGATTGTGACCGTGGGTATCACATGTACTGCCTCACACCGCCCATGTCAGAACCTCCTGAAGGTAAGTACTACGCCCAACCCCCCCCCCCCCCCAAATGCAGTTCAAAAACATTCAAGTGTGAGCAGATCAATAGATACCCCTCTGGCAGGAAGGTAACACCACTCCGTGCAGTCATGACGGCCTTGAAGGCATCTATGGACAACTCCAGCTCTTTGGCTTAGAAATGGAGATGAGCACCAATCCCCAGAGTCGGACACTAATAACAATATAATAAACAAAACAATAAAATAAAATAATAAATGTAATAATCACAATAATAGAGGAAAATAATGAATCTATATAAATAAAAATGTAATGTTTGTTTGTAACTCTAAAACCACTGGATGAATTGACACCAAATTTGGACACAAGACACCTCTCAGGCCAACGAGTGACCATCACTCATAAAAACACTGAAAAACACAGTGGAAGGGACTTAAAAAGCCAAAAAAACACAAAAAATACATTACAATGAATGCGCATATACACAAATACACATATATACACACATATATGCTTATACACACACAAAACATACACAGAAGGGAAGGAAGGAGAGAATGCGGGAGAGAAGGAAGGAAGGAAGGAAGGAAGGAAGGAAGGAAGGAAGGAAGGAAGGAAAGAAAGAAAGAAAGAAAGAAAGAAAGAAAGAAAGAAAGAAAGAAAGAAGGCGAGAAAGAGGGAAAGAAGGAAGGGTAGAGAAGGAAGGAAGGAGAGAAGGAAGGAAGGAAGGAGAGAAAGAAGGAGAGAAGGAAGGAAAGAAATAAGGGTAGAGAAGGAAGGAAAGAAAGAAGGGTGGAGAAGGAAGGAAGGAGAAAGAAAGGTAGAGAAGGAAAGAAGAGAAGGAAATAAAAAAGTGAAAGAGGGAAGGAAGGATAGAAGGAACGAAATAGAGAAAGAGGGAAGGAAGGAAGGAGAGAAGGAAAGAGAATGGTAGAGAGGGAAAGAAGGAGAGAAGGAAATAAAAAAGTGAAAGGGAAGGAAGGAGAGAAGGAACGAAAGAGAGAAAGAGGGAGGGAAGGAAGGAAGGAAACAAGGAAGGATGGAACCAAAGAGCAAAGGAAGGAAGGAAACAGGTAGAGAAGGAAGAAAGAAAAAGGGAAAAACAGGTAGAAAGAAGAAGGGAAAGAAAAAGAGGGAAGGAAGGAGAGAAAGAGGGAGGGAAGGTTGGCCACAGCAATGCGTGGCGGGCACAGCTAGTCTATATAAATAAAAATGTTCGTTTGTGGGATTAACATAACTCAATTACTCCTTGTAAAGTATCACAACAGCCGTCATTTGGGGTTTTCATATCCATTCCCCTCTGCCCTCCTGCCCAACCCTGCTGTACTGGGGGGAGGGGGGCTAAACACGAACTGGACTTAACAACAAAACCGAGGACTAGAATATAATTTGCATTGCTGCCGTGAATTGGAACAGAATCTGTTGCTGCTATCTACTATCATAGGAATAGAGCCACCTACCCAAGGCTGCTAATTTCGTCCATCCATTAGCACTTACCCACTTTAGACCTGTGCACTTTAAAAAACTGTTGCACTTTAAAAACTGTGCACTTTAAAAACTGTTGCACTTTAACTCCATTGCGCCATTCTATAGCACCTTAGCCACTGAACACTTAGTCATCAGGCACTTAACAACTTAAAACGTTAACTTCTGCACCTTATTGCCTGTATCCTATACCTGCTAAATTTGAACACCCATGTCGGCCCTCAAAGTGTGGTATGTGCTGATAATATTGCTAGCAAACGGGGGAGGGGAAAGAGGGGGGAGTGGGTGGAGAGAATTCAGAAACAACATTGCAGGATTAGGTAATAATTGGAAGGGATTAGGAGGGCAGAAAGGGAAGATAACGAAGGAGATAACCTGGAGGAAATCATGGGATGAGTTTGCAATCTTGAAGTGCAATATGGAGGAAGAGGAGCATTCCATTGGCCGGGGGGCCCCTATAGTAGTCCTGACGGGGAGGGGGAGATGCGGGAAAGGGAGACCTTTAATTCGGCAACCAATTCGGCCATCTATTCGGCTCAAAAACAGTAAAGAATCAATGATTCAAATTCGGCCTAAGGGGAGGAAAAGAAATCAAAATAATTTAATAAAATGTAATCGGTCTCCTGACAGAGTAAATGGGTGTAACCAGGTCAGCGGTCCCTCCGGGTTGAAGATGGTGCTGTTGAACGCCAGATCTGTCAATGGTAAAACATCTTTCATCCAGGATTTAATCCTGGAGGAACGGGCAGATCTGGCGTGCATTACGGAGACCTGGCTGGACGAAGCTGGAGGAGTTAATTTAACCCAGCTTTGCCCGCCAGGTTTCTCCGTACAGCACCAATCGAGACCTGGAGGGCGGGGAGGCGGAGTAGCGGTAGTCTATAAAAATTCGATCCCTCTGACCAGAGGCCCCATCCTTCAGTCGACTAATTTTGAATGTGTCCATCTGAGGGTGGGAGACCGGGACAGAATAGGGATTCTGTTAGTGTACCGCCCACCTCGCTGCACTACAGTCTCCCTACCTGAGCTAGCGGGGGTGGTCTCGAGCCTGTCATTGGAGTCCCAACGGCTCCTTGTGCTGGGGGACTTCAATATACACGCCGAGACTGCCCTAGTGAGAGCGGCTCAGGACTTCATGTCTTCCATGGCAACCATGGGGCTGTCCCAACAAATAACTGGCCCCACCCACAGTGCTGGGCACACATTGGATTTGGTCTTCTGTCAAGGATGGGAGCAAGGTGGCGGGGTTGAGGAGTTATCCATCTCTCCGTTGCCATGGACCGACCACCATCTGGTCAGCTTTAGACTTACCACACCTCCTAACCTCTGCAGAGGTGGGGGACCCATTAAGATGGTCCGCCCCAGGAGGCTTATGGATCCGAATGGATTCCTGATGGCTCTTGGGGAGTTTCCCGCTGCCTCGGTTGGTGATCCTGTCGATGCCCTGGTGGCTCTCTGGAATGGGGAGATGACCAGGGCAATAGACACGATCGCTCCGGAACGTCCCCTCTCAAGTAGCCGAGCTAAACCAGCTCCTTGGTTCACCGAGGAGCTGGCAGAGTTGAAGCGAAAGAAGAGGGAACTAGAGAGCGTGTGGCGTCGGACCCGAGCGAGTTAAACCGAACACGGTTTGTTGCCCTTTTAAGGGCATATGCCGTGGCAATAAAGGCGGCAAAGAAATCTTTCTTTGCGGCCAATATTGCGTCCGCAAAGAACCGTCCGGCTGAGCTGTTTCGAGTTGTCAGAGGCCTGTTGAAGCCCACCATCTCGGATGGGAGCCCTGACAACTCGGCGGCTCGCTGTGAAGCATTTGCACGGTTCTTTGCGGACAAAGTCGCTTTGATCCGTTCAAGTCTGGACACCATGTTAACGGCAGTCTCTGAGAATGTGACGAGAACACCTGTCTGTCCGATTTTGATGGATTCGTTTCAATTTGTGAAACCTGAGGATGTGGACGAGGTGCTTGGAGGGATGAGAGCAACCACATGCATCCTAGACCCCTGCCCATCCTGGCTTCTAAGGAGGCCAGAGGGGGATTGGCCGAGTGGGTGAAGGTGGTGGTTAATGCCTCCCTTCGGGAAGGCAAAATTCCAGCCAGCTTAAAGCAAGCTGTTATAAAACCGCTGTTGAAAAAACCATCACTGGACCCCACTCAATTCGTCAACTATCGGCCTGTTTCCAATCTCCCCTTCTTGGGCAAAGTCCTGGAACGTGTGGTGGCCTCACAACTCCAAGCATTCTTGGTAGACACTGATTATCTGGATCCGGCACAGTCTGGCTTTAGGCCGGGGCATGGTACCGAGACAGCCTTGGTCGCCTTAGTGGATGATCTCCGGCGTGAGCTTGACAGGGGGAGTGTGTCCCTGTTAGTTCTGCTGGATCTCTCAGCGGCCTTCGATACCGTCGACCACGGTATCCTTCTGGGACGCCTTGCGGGAATGGGCCTGGGAGGCACTGTTTTACAGTGGCTCAGGTCCTTCCTAGAGGATCGTTCCCAGAAGGTGTTACTGGGGGACAACTGCTCGTCCTCACAACCATTGATTTGTGGGGTCCCGCAGGGTTCAATACTGTCCCCCATGTTATTTAACATCTACATGAAGCCGTTGGGAGAGATCATCCGGAGTTTCGGGGTGCGGTGTTATCTGTACGCAGATGACGTCCAACTCTGTCACTCCTTTCCACCCACTACTAAGGAGGCTGTCCAGGTCCTGAACCGGTGCTTGGCCGCTGTGTCGGACTGGATGAGGGTGAACAAATTGAAACTCAATCCAGACAAGACAGAGGTACTCCTGGTCAGTCGGAAGGCCGAACAGGGTATAGGGTTACAGCCTGTGTTGGACGGGGTCGCACTCCCCCTGAAGACGCAGGTTCGCAGCTTGGGTGTGACTCTGGATTCTTCGCTAACCTTGGAACCCCAAGTTCGGCGGTTTCCAGAGGAGCATTTGCACAGCTTCGGCTTGTGCGCCAGCTGCGCCCGTATCTTGGGAGGTCGGACTTGGCCACGGTAGTCCACGCTCTTGTCACATCCCGTATAGATTACTGCAACGCGCTCTACGTGGGGTTGCCCTTAAAGACTGCCCGGAAGCTTCAGATGGTCCAGCGCTCGGCAGCCAGGTTGCTAACGGGAGCGGCTCTCAGGGAGCATACCACCCCCCTGTTGAACCAGCTCCACTGGCTGCCAATTTGCTACCGAGCACAATTTAAGGTGCTGGCTTTAGCCTATAAAGCCCTACACGGTTCCGGCCCCACTTACCTCTCCGAACGCATTTCCACCTATGAACCTGCAAGGGCGTTAAGATCGTCCGGGGAGGCCCTGCTCTCGATCCCGCCAGCGTCACAAGTGCGGTTGGCGGGCACGAGAGACAGGGCCTTCTCGGTAGTGGCCCCTCGGCTATGGAATGCGTTACCAGCGGACATCAGGCAGGCCCCTTCGTTGCTGGCGTTTCGAAGGAGGGTTAAGACGTGGCTCTATGAGCAGGCATTCGGTTAGCCATGCAGTAACAACCACCCAATAATGACGGCATTGAACAAGGATTGAATTAAGGACTATGAGAACGGGATCTGATTCTAAGTAGGCGTTGATGATTATGTGTATTGTTTGTGGATGTGCGTCTTATATATTGTTCACTGTTTATTTTTACTGTAAACCGCATTGAGTCGCCGTTCCAGGCTGATAAATGCGGTATACAAATAGAGTAAATAAATAATAAATAATAAATAAAAAGCACTAGGCGAATTGGCACCAAATTTGGACACAATACACCTGTCAGGCCAACGAGTGACCATCACTCATAAAAACACTGAAAAACACAGAGGAATAGACTTAAAAAGCAAAAAAAACAAAACCCAAAAAACAAAAACAAAAAAACAAACATTACAACGCATGCACAAAACCATATATATATATATATATATATATATATATATATATATATACACACACACATACATACATACATACACACACACACACACACACACACACACACACACATATACACAAAAATATACACATACACACACACAAAACACATACACACAGACTGGGCCATAGCAACGCGTGGCAGGGGACAGCTAGTGTAATAATAATAATAAAACAAAATAATGTAAATGTAATAATAATAATAATTAGAGTAAAATAATAAATGTAATAAAAATAAAGTAAAATGATAAATGACTCGAGTATAAGCCTAAGAAAAGGCTGAAAAACGTGGCCTATTCTCGAGTATATATATAGACGATAACATATTCCTTCCAACAGGATTATCTTAATCTTTTGGGACTGCAAGACCTTACAGCCCTGAAAATATGGACAGGGAACCCCTCTCTCATCCCTGAAGTTAGACTAGTGCAGCTACCAAAGAGGCAAAAATCATTGCTTTTGCAAGCAGGCATGATATGGTTTGTCTTTGTCCGCTGTTCCTTTCGCAGGGAGCTGGAGCTGCCACTTGTGTCTGGACTTGCTGAAGGAGAAAGCCTCGATCTATCAGAACCAGAACTCCTCCTGATGGGCCTTGGAGCTGCGGAGGGGGAAAGGGAGGTCAAGAGGAAGAGGCGCCTTGGGTTGCCTGCTGCGTCACAGGGCTTTCCCCCCTTCTTCTTTGTCTTGATTTGGTCGCCTACATCCTGCTCTTCATCCGGGTCTCCATCTTGCCCACAGCCTTTTCAGGGTACAGGCCTCTGCCCCGTAGCTTTTGCCCTGTGTTTGAGATATCCACGGTCCCTTCCTTGACAGGCTAGTTTAGAAGCACCGAGTGGAAAATCACCATATCTACGGCCTTAATATTCCAAGAGAAAACCCATAGGAAGGGCAGCCTATTGTGCTGTTCTATCCAACAGACAACTGTCAAGTTTCCCTCTTAAAAATAATATTATTTTTCAAAATCTTTTTGCGTTTTTCTCTGTTCTGCTCCCACTTCAGTTTGCGAGGAAAACGACAACAAATAGTCCATTTTTAAGGGATTTGTTATGTCCCAAACATGAGTAACCGCCGATCCAGCACCAAAACAGCAATCTCTGAAATCCCAAGTAAACACTGTATAATACTTACTAGAAACCAAGATGGGCTACTGCTATGGACCAGGACTCGATGTGTTGTCGAAGGCTTTCATGGCTGGAATCATTGGGTTGCTGTGAGTTTTCTGGGCTGTCTGGCCATGTTCCAGAAGCATTCTCTCCTGACGTTTTGCCCACATCTATGGGAAGTGTCCAACTTTTTTTTAAGTCTGCTCGTATGCCCTTCCACAAACACCAGTATCACCTTCCATTTATGTCCCAACATTATTTCCAATTTTAACTCTACATTTGGCCTTCTCACTGTTTTTAATTATGTGTTGTTTTATTGATAATGTTGTGTATTTTATTGTCTGTGCTTTTAACTGCTTGTATGGATGTTTTATTGCTTTTGTTGTTGTGTTGTGGGCTCAGCCTCATGTAAGCCGCACCGAGTCCCTTGGGGAGATGGTAGCGGGGTACAAATAAAGTATTATTATTATTATTATTATTAACATGTGACCCAATACAACAGCCAGCAGAGTGTCTGCTGTGGACTCATCTTGCTGTGTTTCAAATAATAATAATAATAATAATAATAATAATAATAATAATAATAATAATAAGTTTCTCCCACATCTATGGCAGGCATCTTCAGAAGTTGTGAAGTCTGTTGGAAACTAGGCAAGTGGGGTTTATATACCTGTGGAATGATGTCCAGAGTGAGAGGCAAGTGTGAATGCTGCTATTGATCACCTTGATTAGCATTGAATGGCCTTGCAGCTTGGTTCTTCCTGCCTGGGGGAATGCTTTGTTGGGAAGTGTTAGCTGGTCCTGATTGTTTCTTGTCTGGTATTTGACTGCTGCTCTTTCTTTACTGTCCTGATTTTAGAGGGTGTTTTAAATATTGGTAGCCAGATTTTGTTCATTTTCCTGGTTTTCTCCAGATTTTGTTCATTTTCCCGGTTTTCTCCAGATTTTGTTCATTTTCCCGGTTTTCTCCTTATTTTGTTCATTTTCCCGGTTTTCTCCTTATTTTGTTCATTTTCCCGGTTTTCTCCTTATTTTGTTCATTTTCCCGGTTTTCTCCTATTGAAATTGTCCACATGCTTGTGGATTTCAGTGGCTTCTCTGTGTCGTCTGACATGGTGGTTGTGAGAGTGGTCCAGCATTTCTGTGTTCCCAAATAATATGCTGTGTCCAGGTTGGTTCATCAGGTGCTCTGCCATGGCTGACTTCCCTGCTTGAATTAGCCTGCAGTGCCTTTTATGTTCTTTGATTTATGTTTGGGCAATATAGCGTTCTGTGGTCCCTATGTAGACCTGTCCACAGCTGCATGGTGTACAGTAGACACCTTCAGAGCTAAGAAACTCCCTCTTGTTCTTTGATTAATGTAGCAGTTGTTGGATTTTCTTAGCAGGTCGGTAGCTTGTTCGTATGTTGTGTTTGTTCATCAGCTTCCCTATGCGTTCAGCCATTGAAATCAACAAGCATGTGAACAACAGCAACAACTATAATCTTTAGGGGACCCGGGGTGGCTTATATGAGGCCAAGAACAAAATGAACAAAATCTGGCAACCAGTATTTTTTAAAAAACTCCAAAATCAGGACAGTAAATAAAGAATGACACTAAGAAAACGGAAATTCCAGACAGGAAACAAATCAGGGCCAACTAACACCTCCCAACAGGAGCCAAGCTTTGAAGCTGCAAGGCCACTCAGTGCAAATCAAGGTGACCAGTTACAACATTCACACTTGCCAGTTTTCAACACGCTTCTGAAATGAGCTTCATGTATTCCAAGTAGACTGGAACGTACTTAGTCCTAATCTTTTTTTAATACTGGTTTTAAACCACTTCATTGGATGTGTTGCAATAGCAAATTCCCAGATTAGTTTAGTATTTACACCATATTTTATTTTTCTGGTTATTTAATATTTAATGTTTATTTTACTTAAGTGATATTTGTCTTGACTGTTCTAATGTAGCACAAATCCTATGTAAAATCATACTACATATTTTTGACATTAATATTGAAATCTGAAATATATACAGAAAGTCTTCAAGACAAGAGTTCTTTCTCCCATTCTGGACGTTATTCCACAGATATATAAACCCCACTTGCCTAGTTTCCAATAGACCTCACAACTTCTGAGGATGCCTGCCATAGATGTGGGAGAAACCTATTATTATTATTATTATTATTATTATTATTATTATTATTATTATTATTATTATTTGAAACACCACAAGATGAGTCCACAGCAGACACTTTGCTGGCTGTTGTATTGGATCACACCTCGGACACTTCCCAAGTGTCTAGGACTGTGTGATGTGTCGGTGAATAATGCGTGCAGATCCCAGTAAGGTGGCCTTTTGTAGCTGGCAGATGGTAATTTTATCAGCGCCGATTGTGTTTAAGTGCAGGCCAAGGTCTTTAGGCACTGCACCCAGTGTGCCCATCACCACTGGCACCACCTTTACTGGCTTGTGCCACAGTCTTTGCAGTTCGATCTTTAAATCCTCATATCGTGTCATCTTTTCCAGTTGTTTCTCTTCGATCCTGCTGTCACCCAGGATTGCAACATCGATAATCCATACTTTGTTTTTTAACATGATCGTGAGGTCAGGAGTGTTGTGCTCCAAAACTGTCTGTCTGAATCCGGAAGTCCCAGAGTAGCTTGACATGTAACTTTTTCTTGCTTGTGATCCCACCAGTTCTTTGTCACAGGCAGATGGTATTTGTGGCACAAGTTCCAATGTATCATCTGAGCAAGGGTGTTGTGCCTCTGCTTGTAGTCTGTCTGCACGATCTTCTTGCAGCAGCTGAGGATGTAATCTATTGTTTCATCTACTTCCTGCCTGGGGGAATGCTTTGTTGGGAAGTGTTAGCTGGTCCTGATTGTTTCTTGTCTGGTATTTGAGTGCTGCTCTTTCTTTACTGTGATCTGTTGGGATCTGTTGTCGACTTTTCCATTCTGGCTTTGATGGCATTGGTTCTAATTATTATTATTATTATTATTATTATTATTATTATTATTATTGATGTTGTTATTATTATTTCTGGTATTTCTACCCCGCCTCTTCTCTACCCACGAAGGGGGACTCAGGATAGCTTACATTTTGGCAGCAATACAATGCCACTACATATATACAATTATAATAATACAACCACCATTAAAATATATAAAACATCAATTAAAAAACAGTTCATAAAGCCTTAATTAAAACAATGAACAGTAGAGAACAATGAACATCTGGAGAGAATTCTTCTGGAACATGACCATGCAACCCAGAAAACTCACAGCAACCTAACCAGGACTTGGTTCAGAAAGTGGCTGCATTTCTCGTTTGGGGCAGATTTGCTCCCATTCTGATGGAGCCAAGATCCGAATCCAAAGAATCAAAGGGAATATGCTATCTCCTTTTTTCCCACTGATTATAATGGTTCTGAGTCAAGACTGTGTCTTGGTGTTCTATGTTCTTCAAAGCAGAACATAGAATCCTGTTTTAAACATGCCTCTAACCTGCGGGGTTTGGCTCGCAGTTCTACGGTGTGATGGATTTAAATCTATATATTTTTAATGCCAACCCTTTTGGAGAGTTTGTCCTGTTTCTTGCTCGTATTTTATTCCTCTTGTATTATGCTTTCACCCACTGTAGTAGGTTTATTTGTCTTGGGGCCTCTGTAGGGTGTAGCCTGGGGGGCAGCAAAGGGATGGCTTCCTATATGGGTGGTATTTTACCTATGGTAGCATCCTATAATGTTTCTGTTCCGCAGCAGAGATCCAAGGAGGCCACCCCAAAGCCTTCTCCCCATTTCCCCCCACTGTCATGACATTATGTGCCTCTTTGGGTCACTGTGCCATCTGTTTTGGGCTACTTTTTATTTTTGTCTCAGCCTTACTTCTGCCAAGTTTTTATTCATTTGCACATATGGGAGCATGGGGGCAGTATGGCCGCCGCCTGACGAGAATCAGTTGGCGTGCTGGACTTTCCCATTTCCATGCATCAAAACCATTGCCCAGTTCCCATCTTTTTTGCCTCCATTTTGGAGGACTTTGCCCTAACGTGATGTTTGAAAAGCCCTTCTTTAAAAAACAATGGCAGTTTCCTCCAGCGTCCTTCTCCGAGAGTGAGAGGAAGAGGAAGCATTTATTCTCTGGAATAGGGTTCTGTGTAATAAAATATAATAAAGATGTGCCTGTTTTTGATAAAATTGACTTCAGACCTACCTCCACAAAAGCCCTTCCCCTTTCATCCGTCCTTCCACACTCCTTCAATCCCCTTTTCCTTTGCAATTGATAGTTTGAGACTGGCAAAGCAGAGAAGGGGATACTACGAGGGTTATCCGGAAAGTAAGGATACAAAACATGTAGCTCTCGTGAGGAATTTTCACGATATCCCTGCCATGTAGCAGGAAGCCAGGAGAAGCGAACGAGCAGTGCCAGTTGTCAGTAGCTCATCGACTGGCATTGTGGTGAAAGTTAGAGATGAGTATTCTCACTCAGTTTCCCTCCAAGTGCAGTGTTCATACTGTATGAAGAATATTCGGAAAGTAAGGTTACAAAACCTATAGCTCTCGCGGGGAATTTTTGCAGGAGAAGTTGGTAACCCTGCCGTGTAGCAGGAAGCCAGCAGAAGCAAACGAGCAGTGCCAGTTGTCAGTAGCTCATCAACTGGCATTGTGGTAAAGGTTAGAGATGAGCATCCTCACTCCGTTTCCCTCCAAGTGCAGCGTTCATAGTGCCAGCTGTCAGTAGCTCATCAACTGGCATTGTGGTGAAAGTTAGAGATGAGTATTCTCACTCAGTTTCCCTCCAACTGCAGCGGTCATGCTGTATGACGGATATTCGGAAAGTAAGGTTACAAAATATGTAGCTCTCACGGGGAATTTTCGCGGGAGAAGTTGGTATCCCTGCTGTGTAGCAGGAAGCCAGCAGAAGCGAACACGCAGTGCCAGTTGTCAGTAGCTCATCGACTGGCATTGTGGTGAAAGTTAAAGATGAGTATTCTCACTCAGTTTCTCTCCAAGTGCAGTGTTCATGCTGTTTGACGGATATTTGGAAAGTAAGGTTACAGAACGTGTAGCTCTCGCGGGGAATTTTTGCAGGAGAAGTTGGTGACCCTGCCGTGTAGCAGGAAGCCAGCAGAAGCAAACAAGCAGTGCCACTTGTCAGTAGCTCATCAACTGGCATTGTGGTGAAAGTTAAAGATGAGTATTCTCACTCAGTTTCCTTCCAAGTGCAGCATTCATGCTGTATGACAGATATTTGGAAAGTAAGGTTACAAAACATGTAGCTCTCGTGGGAAATTTTCGCAGGAGAAGTTGGTATCCCTGCCGTGTAGCAGGAAGCCAGCGGAAGCGAACGAGCAGTGCCAGTTGTCAGTAGCTGATCAACTGGCTTTGTGATGAAAGTTAGAGATGAGTATTCTCACTCAGTTTCCCTCCAAGTGCAGCGTCCATGCTGTTTAACGGATATTTGGAAAGTAAGGTTACAAAACATGTAACTCTCGCAGGGAATGTTTGCAGGAGAAGTTGGTATCCCTGCTGTGTAACAGCAAGCCAGCGGAAGCAAACAAGCAGTGCCAGTTGTCAGTAGCTGATCAACTGGCTTTGTGATGAAAGTTAGAGATGAGTATTCTCACTCCGTTTCTCTCGTAAGTGCAATGTTCATGCTGTATGACTGATATTCGGAAAGTAAGGTTACAAAACATGTAGCTCTCGCGGGGAATTTTTGCGGGAGAGGTTGGTATCCCTGCCGTGTAGCAGGAAGCCAGCAGAAGCGAACAAGCAGTGCCAGTTGTCAGTAGCTCATCAACTGGCATTGTGGTGAAGGTTAGAGATGAGCATTCTCACTCTGTTTTCCTCCAAGTGCAGCGTTCATGCTGTATGACGGATATTTGGAAATTAAGGTTGGAAGATTTTTTTAAAAATACAAAGAATAAATATATTTTAATAAAACTTGTATGGATTATAGGTATTACATTATTTTTCCACATAATCACCATTTAGTTCAATACATTTTGTCATCTATAAGATGAGTTTTTGATACCTGTGTCATAGAAGTCTCCCTCCACCTTTTTCAGCCACGTCATCACAACGGACAGCTGTCCACCTGTCTTCATCATGAATTTCCGTCCTTCTGCAATTGAAATTCCATATCCATTTTGCCACATGCTGTCCTGACACTATGTCCTCTCAATAAACTGAAAATATCTCACGAGGAATTGCAGCAGCGTTCATGCCCTTAGTAATTAGGTAGCGTATTACAGTGTGAACTTTGCACTCGGAGGGGAACTGAATGAGGACGCTCATCTCTAACCTTCACCACAATGCCAGTAGATGAGCTACTGACGACTGGTACTGTTCGTTCGCTTCTGCTGGCTTCCTGCTACATGGAAGTGTTACCAACTTCTCCCACGTTTACGTGGTTCATTTATGCATTTAGGTAGTGTATTACAGTGCGAACCTCGCACTTGGAAGGAAGCTGAATGAGGATGCTCATCTCTAACCTTCACCACAATGCCAGTAAATGAGCTACTGATGACTGACACTGCTCGTTTGCTTCAGCTGGCTTCCTACTA